TCAATCAATCGCAAGTGGAAACTTGCGAACAAATACAAATGAATACATTATTTAGTTGCCACCAATACGGCAACGCTTTGAGCCAAATCTCCCATTATCACGGCAGATAATTGTCATTCATAAACATTCAGTAGTCAGTACATTATCCAAGTTGCCAACATGCTTGAGTTGATAATGCTGAGGTAACAAAACATCTGAGGTAGGTACTAGTGAGATAAGCAGTTTCGAAATTAACAAGTCTTCATCTTGATTATAATAATTGAACTTTATGATCTCATCGTCAAAGAGCTAATCGTGAGATTTGACACACTGCGCTCGTACCACAACGCAGAGGAGGCAGCACGCAACGCAGTTGCAGTTGGCAGTTCCATTTGAGGTTGGTGAGTAGAGCGACCGGTCCACGATATCGTACTCAACCGATGCTTCGTACGGCTGACACAGCACTGCCCGAGAACCAAGGTTATGGAGAAACTTTTCCACAACTATATACGATGTACGGGGCCTTGTCAGTTAAATCTTGGGTGGTAATCGAGAAGTTCCATTGAGCCATTAAAATTTTACAAGGATAACATTATTTTATACGTAAATAATACTTATGCTACATTCGTACCAGACTTGAATTTACATTGAAAAGGAACGTCACCTCACACGAAACGTTCACTTGACACATGAAACTTGCAGTTGAGGACAAATGGCTAGTGTGACAAAATAATAAAAGTATAAAATAGGATCGAGCTTGAAAGCGGGCTCGGTTAAAACGTAACTGCACCCTCTCCAGAGTAGTGCTAACCAACGCCCACCCACAAGAGAAACGGGCTATATTCCTATATACCGTATAAATCATATGCAAAGTTAGCACCTAATTTAGAGAACAGTATTCAAACAATAAAGATTGAATGTCAAGTTTTGCTATCAGAATCTTTGCAATTTATTTCTCTTCAGTCATTTAAAAAATAATAGATTAACTTGTCCCCTACATCTCAGACGAGAAAGCATTCGATTATCAGAAGTTTTCTCAAATGTTGGGAGCATTCCGATAACTAAATAATCTATATAATCGATTGATCAGGTGCGAACAATATGGGAACATTGTCCAGGAGTCCTTCAAATTAAATTTTTGTTTTATGAAACATGGGAAAACTGTAGGATCATATTATAATTTTTTGTCAATAAGCGAAGCGTGCGTCATACAAGACAATGATTATTTGAACAGCCAATTCATAATGAAAATCTCTGAATCCATCTTCAATGTTTTCTCACATACTAGTGATACTAGGGCGCTGATAGTAATACAAATGTACGAAGACGATTACATCTATCACTATATTACTATTATATCGCCATTGTAAAGGATTTTACGGGAATTTTCCTGTCTAGTCTTTTTTCTAACTCGAGTTTCGCTGGGTATGAATAATTTTCAACGATCCCTTACCATGGCGATAATATATTAAGAAGGGATCGTTGAAAATTATTCATACCCAGCGAAACTCGAGTTAGAAAAAAGACTAGACAGGAAAATTCCCGTAAAATTCTTTACAATGGCGATAGAGGTAGAGAATTATGAACATTATAATAACTTCAACATTTCTTATACGTATTTAATCCATGAAAATTGTATTTGCACATCAATGCTCATGAAGGAGTAAAATAATGCATGGCTCAAAGCTTAGACTAAAAATTGCGGAGTAGAGAATCAAGGCGCAAGTTTCGTACACCGGGGGAGCTGATTGCTGAGCTTCACTGAGCAACGGTGTAGCAGTGCAAGCTCGACTACAGGCAGAGAGGTAGGCGCCAGTCGCTCCCCTGGCCGCTTGCAATTGCGCAACGTAGCTGCTGTGTAGGTTGGTCCTACAGTCGTAATGAATCAGTCCATACAAGCGCGTTCACATGAATGCACGAACTATGCCAAGGGTTATGCATTAACTGGGCCCGACTTTAAACTCCACAATATTAGTTTATTCAAGCCATTACAATTATGCAGCTGATTGAAATTTATAAATATAGCAATACATTTTTCCAGGAATGCTTGCAATTGAATTGCTGGACTGCAGATGCAAAGCGACCAACAGTTCCATATAAGCTTGAGCTAAACGAGTCTAATCAAGTTCAATATGTAATAGTAGAATGTCGAAATCAGGCCACAGACGAAAAAATACTGACGCTATTAGCTCAAACGAATGGCTCACATTAATAACGTTAATTGTGAACCGTCTATCAGCTATAATACGATTAGTCTCATCAGTTCGATATTCACAAACCTTGAACGAAAATCACAGATTGTAGTTGTTTGTGATAGCAAGCATATGCGTATTTATGATACATCACAAATACGCATATGAATCACTAGTGACACGAGTGATATTTTTTGATAAAAAAAATAACAAGGAATTTTCCTTCTTAAAAATCTTATTTGAAACGATCACGTACTAGCAATTAATACTAAACGAAAAAAAAAAACACCCAGGAGGCGACGTAGCATTTGTTCAGGCTTAGATGGCACATAAATCAGCGCATGTGATGAAGACATCGCTATCGTCTGTCGTAATCTTCAATTTTATTGTTAAGTAGGTTGACAGTACGTATTCTCGACTAGAAAAAATAACAAAAGTTGATGATGTGATTTTAATATTGTATAATCAGCACATCTTGCTTTTAGTTTTTGCTCCACAGCACGACCCGGTTGATAAGTTCCTGTCACGCGTCGCGAATTTAAAGTCGCTGGGAGAGAGCACGGTCCCGATAGCTCGGCTCACGGTCGTTTCGGTAGCGAAAGCTTTGCTTGTCATCATCAACTCTAGACTCTGGGACAAGACTTGACGAAGTTCTGAATAAAGTTCTTATTAAAATCGATGAGAGAAAATTTGTTGCCGAGATTATATTGCAAACTCGTTGAACGCGCAACTTTCGAATTCACCAATGTCAATGTGGAATAGAGTTACAATACAGCAAAAATTATGTTTTTACTTGTTATTTGCGTACTCATTGAACGGAGTCGTGCTTATTGCTGCACTAAAATCTCACAACGAGATTAAGTCAATTACCTAAAACCAGCATTATAGCATCCATATTTCTGATATAAGCCCATTGCTAACGTTATTTTTTCGATCATACACTTGCTTTAAAACCAGTAAATCAGAAGACTTGTTCTGAATGATGTTGAAGAATTGCGCAGTGATTTTCTTCATATAGCAATAAAAAATAAAAATTTTTAATATTAGTTAGCAATTAAAGTCGTATCAGGCGTCAAGTTGCACTCCATCGACATAAAATATTTTAATAAACGCAGGCATCAGCGCCGTATATATCGTGGTTTCGAAATCCATTGTAGCCTATAGTTTGCGGTCAAAATCAGATCGAATAAGATGTGCCCCAACCTTCAGCCGATCTGAATAGGGCGCACAAATTAAAATCAGAGTATATTTATGGTTTATACTATAGGATTGAAATAAATCTTTTCAATTACCTATGAACGAAATTGATTAAATTTTACCCAAAAAAAGGACACCAATTTATTGGCTCTATGATCGAATTAATTGGTGCCTCTGGCCAGTTTTCGAGCAATGAGGCAATAGGTTCAATCGTTTTCTGCAGTAAGCATGCTAATTATGACGCAAAATTTATAAAAAAAATTAATACGAACATCAGAACAAGGCTCACAAAGTAGTAGAACATTGGCACAAATATACTGGGGAAAACAAGTAGCGTCAAACAATTTAGGCGACAGCGTGAGTACCCAATAACCGATAGGAGCAGCTGGCGGATGCATGAGGCTGAATTGCATTTGGATTCTGGCCAAAAATTCCAACGAACTGAATATGCTTGCCGCTCATGAGACTATAAAAAAAGCAAAGAATCGTGGTCAAACTTAATTGAAGCTCATTCCAATTTCGATGCCAATAGCAATGTAGATAGAAACGTTTCAGGCTTTCAGCGTGCGTTCATTGATTTGTAGGAATAACCAGAAGTGAGCACCTAACTTCCTAAGGATATAGACTATAGTTTTATTAGAGTTTACCAACAAATAAGGAAAAACGCAGCTCGAATTTCAAGGTTTGAATCCACACAAACTTTAGGTGGCTTGAATTAAACGGGTGTATGAAAAATATTAGAAATTTTATATGCACAATCCTTCGGATAGGAAGAATTTAATTTCGCGTTCCCATTGCCCTTAATGTTGACTAGTTGCCACTATAGATATAACCTGGCTGTTAAAAAGTGTAGAGAGAATGATAACTAATTTTCTCGGTTACAACTAGCTCATTTAAATCAACGCTGCTGAAAGCTAGCACCAAAATAAGAATCCATTCTCTGGCTCGTCTGCCAGCAGCCCAGCACCTAATCGAAGTAAAATGTTCGCGAACAAAGGCAACTTGATTTTGACTCTTTTCGCTTAGAATATTTAGAATACAGTAGAAATTCAAATGCATATAACTCGTAAGCCATCAAAATGAATAAGATTTGACACGAAAGGTTTTATTATTAAAATTGTGAAATACAATGTCCTACGCCTAACCTACGGTAGTCCAGCACGCCTTATCAGACCGAATGAAACGTTTCTCAGTTCTCACTACATTAATCAAATTCTATAAGCAGCCATGAAAGTAAAACTTACGAATCTATAATTTTTTTAAAGCCGTTAGCTTTATTGATGGATGCATACATTAGTTAAGGAAACTTGACCGTTATAGACTGAGAAATAAACAGTCAAGTTTCACAAAACAAAGATGGCGTTCAGCCACCACCTCACTCGATAGCGCACTGAGAAGAGATGGGACGTGACGTCATCGTATTCTTACGCGTCCAAATAATTCGACACTTTGAGCTTTCATTCAACTAAATATTCAATAAAATGCCTCATTTTAACTTTTTCCACTATCATTTAATTGAAAAATTGTGATTGTTCGAAGTAAGTCTCCAACTCAGAACTAGTTTTAATAGCGTAAGGAGTAGAGAACGAGCCAGCAGCAGTACACTGCAGAGTTCGGCCCCAGTCATCTGGCTGCTATGATTGCGTTAACTTGTGTTCGCTCAGCTATAGCACGCACCTCCTATCGACTAGACTGTCGCAAGCAAATATCGTTCTTGAAGTGCCGGTACATAGGGTCGGAAATCTTGTGGATTACGTGATGTCTAACGTTCAAGTGCTACTCCCGTCTGGCAATCTGAAGCCACTGGGTGCCTCTCCTGTGTGCGAGATGGAGGCCAGAGCCTCATCCTCCTCTCTAAGTGACCACGCTAGGACCTCAAAATTTAAACAAAATTTTGGTTTTGACAGTGAAAGCGATTCGACGCATCAACCGTGTAAAAAGTTCAAAAAAGCCCCACGCCGTCGCCGAAAAAAGAAGAAAGCTCATAGTGGAGTTGTTCGCGTGTGCAAGCCTTACGCGCCCTTCAACTCAAACCAGTTCCTGATGGAGGAGTACGACCCTCTGCACTTCAGCGACTCGCGTATCTTTCCCCATACGAGTTCTCGCGCACTAGACCCTGAGGGCGCCAGGGCTCTGCCCAGTCGTGCTTCTGCAGCATCTGGACCTCCTGAGCCGACCCAGCTGCCTACCAGTTCTGAAGACCCCCCTGCATGCTCTGCGGAAGCGTCCGCGGTGCCTGAGAATTTGGGGTGTGAGGATCTGTGCCCGGTGTTGCTTATAGACGAGAGCAGCGCCTCTGTACCAGCGACCGTTATGAGTGAGAGAGGTGACGCCGTGCAATGGACCGAATTTTGCATGGAACAATTCATGGGAGACTACCGTGACCTTTCCGAAGTACGGCTTGATAACATGACGAAAACTGAACTAGTCGAGGAGTATCTCTCCCTCGAAGAACAGCTCTCTCAACTACAGAGAAAACTAAAGGAAATCTCGGAAGTTGATCGAGATCGGAAAATGATTATTGAGCGAGAATGTGATGTGTTGGATCTGCAGCCAGGCGAACTTCTTGTGAATCACGAAGCGGCAGAAAAAATCTCAGTATTCAAGTCTGAAATTCATGCTCTACAGCTGGAGAATGAAATGTTGTTGCAGCGCAACGCAGAGCTGCGAGCCCTTCGCCGCCAGCCATCGTCAGGATCCAGTTCTTGTTCGTCTTCGTCATCATCGTCATCTTCGTCCGGCTGGTCTTCCAGTGACGACAGCTCATCGAGCGACTCGGAATGTGAAGACAAGAGAGAAGATGGAGATGCCGTCGACGAAGGCGTTTGTCCTGCTGACGATGTCCCGTCTCGGGTCGAGGGTACTGACGATGCTAGTGCCGTGTTGACGGCAGGGAAGGACGAAGAAGACGTGAGTGAGAGCGCTGTCGAGCAGCCTCAGCAGCTGGATGAGGAAGCCACGGAAGATTTCGACCCGTCTGAGAAAAGGCTCCATATTGATGCAGGTGATTTTATGGATAGCGGTGTGGACAATAATGAGGTGCATAGCGAAGACGAGATAAAAGACTGCGAAACAATAAGAGACTAGATTCCTAATTGACTTTATCAACGAAAGTTAATGATCTCAAAAGTGTTGATACCTAGCGATTCTTTTATTTGCGACTATAGCGGTATTTTATGCATCTCCGCTCATGATGTCATTACTTGAAATGAGGAATGTATTTCATTTGATGTTGAATTTTGTTATATGGAAGAATCTTTGGTAAACGCTTACGTTTTCTGTTTGTTTCAACTCGATTGACTTTGTTTCGTTTGTTTCCTTGGTATTGTGTGACATGATGTGCTGAAGGCGCTGTTCTGTAGCGGCAACACCATTGATATTTTTCAAATTTTTTTGTACGTCATCTTATGTTCCTTTCGCATGACGTTATTGGGTACAAATTTAGCTGAGCCTATTTTTATTTCTTTTTGGTTGTAAGCAGAGTAAATTTAAATTGTCAAGGCAATTGATCTCAATCAAGTTTGCTGCAATCGTCTGAACTTTTAAGTTTAAGTTCCAAATACTATGTTGAACGAGAGTATGGATACGAGTGATTTTTTTTTATCAGATATGCGTCGTTTTCTGAATTGATGGTCTAACGAAAGTTCACTTTTCACCTGGTCTCTTTTTATTCAGATTTATTTAGACAATTTTCAATTGATTCCTTTTACAAATTTGGATGCGTGAATTAAACGAAGATGCTGTTTCTAGACTTGATTTACGCAATTGTGAACAATAATGCATTATTTTTCATCCTTCGGTCGCAACGGTTTTGTCTAGAGCGATCCCTATTAAAAAGTATTGTGTCCTAACATAAAAATACAAAATTTTGTGCCTGGACTAAATTTTGCTTTTTACAACATTTTCGATGTACTTTTTATTAATTCCGGCGGGAATATTGCGTACATTTTATTGTTTAAAAAGTTATACTCAGAATTTCCAAGCAAGTCAAACATGGCGTTGAACTTTTTGAATTGGTCTTCCCTGATCTTTGACAGTGTGTGTAACTTATGTGATCGTCTAGAAAGATTACTCCACAATTATGCACATTTTATTGTGCAATCAGGCTTAATTTACTAGGTAATAGTTTCATTTATCTGACATGATGTTTAGTACTGACCAAACTGACGTAATTTATGGTTAGAAGTGCAACGTTTCGCAGTCAGTCCGCTGTGAGCGGGAGTGCAACGTTTCGATTGCTTGTCAGACTTGCTCAAGAGGCGAGACTACCGTCGCCCAGTCGCCGCATGCGGGTGACCTCTGTTCGTTGCATGCAACCGTCTCATCCCGTCAGTTTGAAACTTCTGTTTTCAGTTTGATGTAATAAAACCCTATTTTGTCGTATCTTCTTACACACTTTTGTGCGATCTGTATTTGAGGAGCTATTATTTTTAATAATCCTACCATTGATGTTACTAAGAGTTTAGAAAAACACGATTTCTTAATTAATGTGGCACCACGTGTTTCTTATGCCGTTGTTCCACATCTTCACATATGCTCCATTGAATTGTAGCCAGAGTTGGTACTACAATATAACTGTTAAACCTCATTTGCCTAACTCCATCATACATGTCAATCTCTTGTCACTGATAAATCAGCATTATACTTGGCGCTCAAGTGGAAAGATTCATTTGAAGAAAACGAGTTTCAATAAGTTCGTCTGAAAGTTGACTGGTGTCTGGTGATACAGCTGTGCTCGTCGCTCGGACTAATCAAGACTTTAGTGCCTAGTTTTAGCGTAGCGTCTGGAGTCACTAGGCTATTGTTGTTTGTTGAAGTTTTTCTTTTCTATTATTATGTTTAGGGTAGGTCTCGATTAATAGATGTTTTTTCTCTTACTTTCTGAGTATTATACGAGTAGTTGAAACATCTTTGTTATTCTGAAGCCTTCTTGTGTAAATAATGTAAATATGTGAGAGAATTTATTTTGCAAGGAAGAGCATTTAAACGAAACGCTTATGTACTTGTGTGTAAATATCTCGTCTAGGTTAGTTAATTATTCTCTCGAGTTGACTTGAAAACTTCAAAGGCAGTGTGCTATTGCGAGTTGCTGTTGATGTCTTTATTATCATCTTTTATTTACCTAGCCAACTGAAGCGCGTGATGTCAGTTAATTACTATATTAATCATTCCTAGTCAGAGGCAAGTCTTACATCACACCGAGCAATCATATGTAAATTGAAGAGTATGTTAACCGTGTGTTTTTCAATAAAGCAATAGCGCATTGTACTCGATGATTTCAGGGCAGCTGTAAATCTGTGATAAGGTCGACTAGTTCGTAGTGAATAAGGAAAGCCTTCTAGGCTATACTGAACTCTACCATGCATAGGTTACTTTTTTCAAATTATTTGGGTCATGAAGCCACTGTTGCATTTGATTTATCAGAATATAATCCCGTTTCTCTTGAACATTTGTCTACCAATGAAAATGGTTATTTTCAACATCGTAGCCCATTACGAAACACTGTAAATTCCTTGCCCTTTAGAAAATTGTACAGTATTTTTTTTACATTGTGTAAATTCAACAACAATTGGCGACATCTTGTAGTTTTTGTCTCGATTGTCCTAGTACAGCATTCATCCAATATGCAAGATCAACTTCCGTGACATGGCCAAAATAACTTGCGTTCGCATATTACTCTCCTTCTTTAACGCACTTGTAAGACTCATGCAATTTAAGAGCTTGTTTTTATTACGACAAGAGAGTTCTGTATTTAATGTTAGCTAATGTTAATGAACGTAACTGTTAGGAGTAATTAAAGACAACGGAAAGTAGTTGAAAGTTCCCGCACCCGCTTGATGGATCATGATCAGTCTCGATAAACTTCGGAGCCAACGATATGGCGTTGAAGCGTTATTTCTTCATTCAAATGGTTCAATTAAAATGAAAACTTTTATTTTTTATGCTCTGATATTATGCGTTTCATTTATGGTTTGTTGAATTGTTCTCGCACTCATTGTGAACCTCAGAACCTAAGGTAATTGAGGAGCAGGTAAAGCTGTTATGGCTTCCACGCTGTGTGTTCCCTGGGTTGAAGAATCGATACCGAACGCCTGCAAAGCCGAGTCTTGCACGCAACCACCGGCCGTTCCTTAAATTTCGTTAGGATCACGTAAACTTTTTTTTTCTGCCGCGTGTTCTAACGGCTTTGCCTGTCATTAGCGTTCGTGAATTGTGCCTGTATTTAGAGTCATCGTCTGGGACGTGCTTTTGCTTGCCACAGCGTGTTAGTTTCATTATCTTTCATTAGGGAGTGGTTCTTCAAGCAATTTGATTGTGGTCAAACACTCAAGTTGATAATGTTTGACAAAATTTAATCTTTTTGTATTAATGCTGCACTGAACGGCGGTTCTGACAAAATTTTCACACCGACGAAATCGTTTTAAAAGTTTACTTTTTTATTGCTAGAACAAGTTACCTGATAGCAGGTATTCAATTTAATGTAGCTATAATAAAATGATTTCTTGTTGATTCAATATTTTCTCCATATTTTTATGGGTATGCCATTATCAAATATATTTGAAAGTCACGTGTGGCAAAATTTTCAGTAGATTATAAGTTTCAAAACTCGTATAAATACTTTGATATTTGCTCATTTTTAATAAAAATTGAGTTGTAAATAGATTTTTCTTAATGCTTGCGTTTTACGTCATGTAAAGGTATGATGCGGATTTGTTTGGTAATCTCTCGTGAATCTATCATATGTAATCTTTAGATTTGAAGTTGTAACTCTTGCGGTGTATTTGAAGCGTTCGTTTGTTACCCTGTTGCCTAAATAAGAGCTGCAGGACACACGCAGTCGGCACACAGCTGCAACACCTGAAACAGCTGTGAAGAGCAGCTCCATAAGAGCTCCCTCTTCTACATGTAGCTCTACTTTGCCTCTTTTTCTTCCGTCACTTTCGTTGAATTTACCTTCATTTTCATTGTTAATCTGCCACCATAAAATTTCAAGAACAATATCGTGCTATTGTAAATTTATCTGTGATGTTTTTAGATGCCGATTGGGCATCTTCTGTGTCGCCAATTGGGCTTCATTATTTACGGCATTGTAATAAATGTTAGCAAAACTACATCCATCGCCCTTCTCCAACGATATATTACTTGTGCCGATTCGAGATCATTTAACTTTATCGCGCTTCTAAATTTGCCTTAAATTTTAGTTTCTCAACGAGTTCGGGATTGTGATTTCCTTAGTTTTTATTTGCTGAACCTCACACGCGATCTGGCCTCGAAGTAATTTTTATACTGGTTCATTTGTAAAAGTAGCTGTTCACATTAATTTTTTCATGATTACAAGGTCATTCAATGGTTAAATGTGACTTGATCTAGGATGAATTTTGCGGTCACGTTTCCATAAACTTCTGTATTTTGTTTTACCATGCTGCATGCACACGTTTTCAGAGCTGAATTCAAGTCAGCAACTCATTTGTTGATTTTTCCACCCTTTCCTGAATGCCATGGACTTCTTTCTGAATATGCCACAGTAATAATAATTACTAACGGCAAATAATGACCTGGGCTTGTACGATTAGAATTAACTTTTAAAAGGCTATTTATTCCAGAAAGCTATATTTGCTGGTTATGTACAAGTTTGAAGTAAATAAATTTCTATCGTTTTGATTCTGTATTATTTTCCTGAATGCATAGGAACGCAATTATTTTTTGTCAGCTTGGCAGGTAAAAATTTATTGTGGATCTTCTTTTCAAACCATTTTTTGCAAATTGATTATGGGCGCAAAAAAAAAAATGATCCGTCATAGGAATGCAGACCCGACTCTTGACATCATTTGTCCATCCTGCCTGCCGACTAGGAAGGCCTGTCCTCAGTTTTACATCTCACTAATGAAATGGCTGGTAGTGGAGAATTTTCATAATAATTACAGAGTTAAAATAATGTAACAACTTTTTGTACTGGTTAGACTCCGGATAAAATGGCAAAATCAATTCGGGTCACAATGACTTATCATCTTCATTGTCATCTTCATGATAAATTATTTTTGCTGCCTATTTGATCACTGTAAGATAGAGTTTATTTATATCGTTAGCGATACGTATCTGAAAAAGTCCTGAACAAATATTCGTGATGGCTTCTGAAAAATATCCATTTACTGACCGCTCACTTGCTCTAGAGTCTAGATCCTTCCATAAAAAATTTTTAATAATTTAATTTCGGAGCGACTAATCCATTATCAATCGTTATACTTGAAAAGTGATCTCGAGTTATTGTTTTAATTACAAAATTTAATTCTCCACCATTGTCATACGTAACTGTCCTGTTGATTCCAGTAGCCAAGCTTCATTACAAACCAGAGACTTGAAAATTCGTGTCAAAATCTGAAGGAAATTGTTCTCGGACTCGAAGCTACACTCCATCTAACAACAACGGTTTATTTGCGATTTCAAGACGGTGTCATTTCGGAGGAGAAAAATCTAACTGCGCCGTTGGACAGTGTACATGAATTATGGTAAGTACTAAGTGGGAGTAGTTGCGCTTTGGCACGTGTTGTTACTCCTGTAAGGCTCTAGATCAGTGGTTCCCAAAGTGGGCGATATCGCCCCCCTATGGGCGGTGGAAAGATTTTGGGGGGCGATAAGGAAGAAGAGGGCGTTTGGGGGGCGATAGGGGGGCGGTAGTCCGAAGTCGAAGTCAGAAGTTCGAACGTTTGTTTGACGATTTGTACACAACACGTGCAGCACATCATGACACCCAGCAATGGTTTTGTCACCCAGATCTGTTTTTTTAATCTCTCCTGGGTTTACGTCTCGGACAAATTAATTGCCGGCCTGGCGGGCGGTCTCTCTGCCGGTTTCTTTTTCATTGTTTGTTTAATATCTCTCTCTCTAATTAATTTACTTCGCTGGATGTTGGTTGGTGTATTTATTCGTTCGTGCCTGTCGTTTTGGTTTCGTTCGTTTTTTTTTATTTCTTTTTTCTTTTTTTTTTTTTGTCGTTGTTTTGTGGTACTGCGGGTCGTTCTTCGTAGTGGGTGGTCATGAAGTTTTTTTTTCCTTATTGTTGAGCTTCTTCGGACGTTTTTTTTTTTTTGTCGTCCTTACTACCGGTTGTTGTTTTTTTGCTCTTGATTTTTTCTTTTGTTGTTTTTTTGTTGGGTTTTTTTTTTTTTTTTTTCCTTTTTTTTCGCTTTTCACAGCGCTATGTGTTTTTATTTTCGGTGTTCTTGAGATTTTTCTCCAACTCTTGTGTTTGTTTTTGCGCGACTTTTTATTTTTATATCTCTCCTCTGCGCCGGTGTTGTTTTTCTTTTTCTACTTTTTTTTTTTTTTGTTTTTTTTTGCGTTTTATGGGTTTATGTGTATGGATGTACGTGGCTGTTTGTTGGTTCGGCCGGTCGGTAGGCCGGTCGTTCGTTCTTTCTCTGTCTGTCTCGCTCGCGAACGCAAATTAGATAGATTGTTTGTCGCGTCCCTGTTGGTTGGTTGGTTATTTATTTATATAGTTTGTTTGGTTTCTGTTTGTTCGTTTGTTTGGAATTTCTTTCTTGCTGTGCGTTCATTCGAGCGATTATTTGTCGGTCGGTGCGGGCTGTATGTAAGTGTGTGTTCAATCATGACTGTGTGTGGAATGAAAAAACTCGCTCGCGAAGGTAGGTTCAATCGTTTTTTTTTGCCCGCCAAAATCAACGTTTTGTCTTTTTGGTTGTGTATTCTGTATTTTGTTCATTTCTTTTCAGTCTTTTGTGTAGTTTTGTTTGATTTCTTTGATTTTTGGGCTTTTTGGCCTTTTTCGTCATGTATGTCGGGGATGTTTGCGAATTTTTACAATTTTTACGTGCTTGTTATCTTCTTTTGATTCTGTTTTCTATGTTTTCTTGGTTTGCTTTCGTTGGTTTGGTTGGTTTTGGTTGTTTTTTTTGTTTGTTGATTTTTGGTGTTGGTGGTGCGGCTTGCGGCGGTTCCTTTGGTGGATTTGTCCTAGGTTTCTTGTGTTTCTAGTGTTGAAACAGTTTAAACAGCTTTTGGTTCTCTTGGTTGGGTCCTTTTTGTGCTATTTGTGTTTTTGTTTTTTGTTTTTCTCTTTTATTTGTTGCGTTTTCAGTTTCCTGAATTTGGCGTATGTTTTTTTTTTTTTTTTTTGTGTGTGTGGGGGGGGCGCTAGAAGTTCACTAGGGAGCCTAAGGGGGCGCCAGCCTGAAAAAGTTTGGGAACCACTGCTCTAGATTCTGATTGCTCCATAGCCATTCTCGCCACGTCGTGTCACATGAAAGGAGAGCTCGACTCGTAAATAAAATAATGTACTCAAGCGTATATTGCCCATTAGAAACTTGAGTACTATACATGAGTCACGCATTACCAATCGCTACATATCAAGTGGAAAGTTATATTTCTTTTGCAACATGGGCATTGCTATGAAGCCATAAATAACGCAATTTTCAATCAGAATTGCTCCAGTAAATAAAACCCAGATCACCGTTTACCAAACTAATCTTACTTATGACAACAATTTCCTAAATTCTCATTTGTATCAGGGCAAAGTTTAAAACGTAGGATATTTTTCTTAGCTGGCGTGACCTTTAGTTCTTTGCACGCCATTAGAGGCAGCCTGTGGCGAGCTCTTCACGCTTAACTGTGAGAGGAGTGAAGGGAGATGGAGTCTCGACGGCCGCAAGAGAGGGAGGGAGTAGTGAGGTAGTAGGCTACTAAGGCAGTATTGGAAGCTGCATGTATCATGAGCGAACATGATTGTGATGAATAGTTCATTCACTAACAAAATAAACGAGACTAAATGTAATTTTAAAGGGAAAAGAATGAATATTGAAGCTGCAAGTTAATCTTATATTGGTAAGTTGCATACGTGACATGGCATCACGTTTTGTTAATTGGATTAACTATTGCTGCATTGAAGAATTTACACGCAATCACTTTCAACGCCTAGTAGAACATAATTTATGAATAAATCGTATTTGTTATTGTGGTCTAGTGTTGACCTTGAAGTTTTGAAATGTATAGTACAAGATTCTTCGCCCTCGGCACGTTCTGTAGGAAGATAAGTACAGTCTCATCGCGATGCGCTGAGTTTTCTTCATTCTTCCAAGCTCAAAATACTTATTTGATTTTTAATTTTAGTACAGAGACTTGAATGTTTGGGCTATTGTGATAATATAATAGGAGTATTGGATATGTTTGTAGACAGAAGTGGACACCTGCCAACTCCGACCCGACTTACCTGATTCTTCCTGACTCCCGCCTTGGCCGCCTGACCGCCTCCCCGGTAGTTGCGGCACTGCCTCCAGAGAAAGTGGTTCTGTTGGTGCGCTTATCCCACTTCATCGCCGGGCATCAGATTTTTCAAGACATTCAAAGCGACTATGTTGTTTATTTTACTATTTTCTGTAGTCAGTGTTCATGGTGAACAATTAGTAGATATGAGTCATCCTGTTGACGAAAACAGCATAACATGGGTGGGGCTCAAGCCTTTCAGTAAATCGCAAAATTTCAAGGGATATACCGATCGTAACTATTGGTGAGTTCTCGGCAGAAGCAGTGATTTGTTTGTTTGTGTCTTATTTTGATATGAAATTATTCACTCGTATGTCTAGGCTTTTTCTATCTCTCACATTTTTTTCTCACATTTTTTTTCTTCAACGCCTATTTCAAGGCCTATTTCTTCAACGCCGACACTTCTATTCAATTCTAAATGATTAGAACCTTTGACAAATTGACAGTCACATCCCTGTGCGTTCAGATTGGGTGCATCAAAATATCCATTTGTCGAATAATACGGATTTTTATTGGAAAAATTTATGAGCAGCATGCCCGTTGGTTTCTTAATTCGCTCGCAGGTACGAAAGCTATAACGTGGCCTTCCCAGAGCACATTTCAACTCACATCGACGCACCCAATCATTTTGCCTACAAAGGCTCGTCAGTTGACGACATCCCAATCAGTGATTTGGTGGCGCCAGGTGGGTGCAGTTATTCATGATAATCAATAAATAAATATTAAGATATAAATTTTTCTGCTGAATTTTTAAGCGTATATCGTTTTTATAAGCCTATTTCATTTTATACAATCTAGAAATCATGGCTTGATTGGTTCATCATGAATAGTTTACTGCTAATTTTCTTTCAGGTCAGACTCAACTCCGTGTCACGTCATAACAATTATAAACTTATATGTTATTTTTACAGCGGTTGTAATTGACATGCGAGAGAAAGCATCTCAGAACGACGTCGCCGAGCTGTCAACAGACGACGTCATGGAATGGCTGGATCAGCATGGACCTCTTCCTGATGGCGTTGTGGTTTTCGTCCTGACGGGATGGGGAGAGCAGTTAGTGAAATAAGTTAGATATATACGTATATATTGCATTATTATGCTAAGTTTTTGTCCGGTAAAGTACCATAATAAAAGAGTCTGGTTACAGATATTGCAAGGAATCAGCAGGTAAAGGTCGTTTGTTTGATAAACATTCCTGTATACGAAGTTCGCTTATGTAGTTGTATTCACTGGTGGCTAACAATGCATTAAAATTAACTCTGATGTATCTCTATTCTTGTGTGAGGATTATATCTTTTTCAGGTATCACAACAAGACGTCTTATTTGGGCACTGACTCTAGTGACGCTTCAAAACTTCGCTTCCCTGGTAAGTCCTCACCTAATTATTATTATTATTGTTATTATTATCATTCTACGAAGCAGTTATCGTGGCGTCTGGTTCAAACGAACTTTGAGGGCACGTTACACTCAATTTTGATAGCAAGCGGAAAATAAATAGACACGATAAAGGAGAAGAATAGATAAAAATTACTAAGCACTTGATTTGAAATTATGAACCTAATGAGCACGGCTTATATTCTTCCTTCGATTCTTGTCTCATCTGCAGCTAGTTTGTTTCATTCCTTGTGTTAATATTAATCAGATATACACAAAAATTTTGTAATTTTTCTATTGATAATCACGAATTTTCGTAATTTTTCTGTTGATCTGCATAAATTTTCTTAATTTTTCTGTTGATATGCACAAGTTTTCGTATTTTTTTTTTGTTCATTATTTCTATTCACATTGAAATGCAGTTTTCTCGTCAATCGTGGACCGTTTTGCAATGCAAAAGTCATTGATGATGACCGTGGGTCATTTTGACCAATTTAATTAGTACGTTTCAAACGAGATGTCGAAACGAACTTGTCGAAAGCTGCCGTTTCAAATCTAAATGAATTCTTCTGATAAGATAAGGCCCATTAGTTTGGATCAAATTTGCGAATGTTCATCTCATTTGTTAGAGTGAAACTATATTTTGATTTCCTGATTTTATCAATAAAGAAATGTATCGTAAACCGAAACCGATTGTTATCTACAGGACAAGATGAGCGCGCACACCCAAAAATATATTGGATGCATTGTTACTGTTGATAATTAGTAAATTGACCATTTCAGATCATTGTATTCAGCAGTTACTGTTTACAATGAAATTTAAGTATTAAAATTTTCTATCGCCCATTATTCGCTTACGACATATTATTCAAAGGCAAATTTAACTAAGTAGCGTAATTCGACCTTGAGTCAGGTGAAATGGATCCGCTAAGTTTTATTCTCCAATGCCCTCATGTGCGTGCGCGCAACCGTTGGTGGGGGTTTTCTTCAATTATGGAGTATCCACCGTATTATTATGAATATGAAAATTGATTTTTTTTATATGTTGACGATGACGCGCAGGTGTCAGTGAGGGAGCAGCACAGCTCATGGCCAGCCACCACGAAGCCTTCGGACGTCGGATTTTGGGTGTGGGCATCGACACGGCGTCCATTGATCACGGTCCTTCGCAAGATTTCAAAGCGCACAGAGCTCTCGCGGCAAAGAATATTTACATGCTCGAGAACGTCGCCAATATTCATGTAAGTGGGTGTATGATTAATGGATATAACTGTATGACATGTACATGCATCATTATCTTGCTTGTGACACACAAACCCGAACATCGGGAAATTTTTGAATTATTTAAGGAATAAACCATGGCTTGCGTCTCAGCGTCTCTTTCAAATATGTAGTGCTTTCTGGCATCAACTGGCAATTTCACATTAAGAGGTCGGAGAAAATTTGCTTTTTAAAGAATATTTGTACAATGAAATTACTGAGTGTTAATATTATTTTATTATAAAACCATAACCGAATTATTTTGATAATAAAAGTTTTATCAAATTCCTTACCTGCTTTGAGATTTTTCACAGTAAAAAATGATCTCTAACATAATAATTCTCAATCAGTTCCCTCGGCAACGGATCTCAGTACGCATCAAAAAATCTTGTGAAAGTAATTTCTTCGATGCTTTTCATTATTAGAATTTATCCGCCAGCTGTTGCCCACCACCGGAGCGGAGGTGACTGTACTGCCCCTCAAGCTGGCCGGAGGCAGCGGCGGTCCGTGCCGGATTCTGGCGCGCATTCCGGACTCCGGAGCAGTTGGTCGATCCAGCTCTGTTCTCGCCAGCCTCGTTATTATGCTTTTTCCAATTCTAATTCTTCGTTAGCTGAGAAAATTATTCATCACCTGATGGCTCATACTGAAAATGTACACATTTTATAAAATTAAATCACGAATATTTTTTTTAACGTAGTCGTCCATCAGTCGTCGTGGTTGATGGATCCCAGAAAAAGCGCCGAAGCATCACGATTATAGAAAACGCAGTCATTCAACAAAAAAATGCTTCAGATCAACAGCGGCAAGCCGGCAACTCCTCGGCAGCGATCAACATGTCTAGTATCAGCAACACATCTAGTCAATTACTGTCTAAAATCTTTTTAATTCGGGATGAATTACTTACCCCGATAATTGTACAGATTTGTTGTTTAAAGATTGATAATAAATTTAAAATTGATCCATGACATCGATATTAGAATAGAATAGAAGTGTCGGCACTGAATGGGTCCATGGCCTGTTGTCGATTCTTGTACTTTTCGTGACTTGATTCACAAGGGATCCGGCCTTTTGCACCCGATCTTTCCATAACTGATTACACGCTTGAAAACTATTTCTTGGATATTAAAAGTAAACTAGGTACAAATACAAAATAGATTTCAAGGTAAGTAAAATGACGTTCTCTGTTTAATCGCAATCTACCTTTTTTCGCATTCTCACGAGTTTATATTCAAATTTTCATGCCAATAAGCTTTACTCTATAACCTTATGATATAGTTTATGATATATTCATAGATGGAGGCAATAGTAATAATGCATGAATGTTGCGTGAAATAGTTTACTTTAATATTGTTTTGTAAGGCTTAACTCCATTGTCTTGAAGATGGAAATGATGTAGTTCGAAATGTCGAGCCAATTTATTAAATTCAGTACTAGGCATATGCAGTATTTTCTCTAATTTTTTTTACGAAGTTTTGGTAATGGTGATAGTTTATACTATCTTGTTCCGCCATATTCTGTACAAAGTTGAATGGAAGTAAGTGTTAACTATAATAAATCGGTCTAAATCACTCGTGCCTTGTTCCATTTAGTTATTGTTATAATTCTTTTTTGTAGGCAGTAACTAGGCTTTAAGTCGCAGATTGTATTACTATGATTTAAGGAGCGCTTGAATAAAGTAAGCGCTGTAATTGGAATGAGAAAATGTGCATTCAAAATTGATAATAATAATGCTTTCGGGAATTTTTCAATTATTTTTGACTGGATGCGAGTTTTTGCGCTAATTGCTTCACCAGTCTTAGTCTCACAAAAAGACGCATTGAGTATTGAGAATCAAAAGACGCATTGAGTATTTAAATATTTAACTTGATAATGAATGTAGATACACTCGAAAGGTTGTAAACCGTATTAAAAATATCTTTATGCATAAACCGGATTTTTGATCTACCAACGCCAATGAAAAATATTATTCGACTCATTGAAAAACCAAGAAGAAAGTTATCAATGAAGCTTATTCTCTGGTGTTCAGTCAAACTTGTTAATTTATTAATTCTGCATATTGGAACACTTGAGTATATACTTCCTTAAAAAATTTCCGCCATCACTATAGGGTTGAAAAAACAGATTAAAAATGTCATGAATTAGCTTCGAGAGGAATTGATTGAACTTGAACTCTTTAATCATGCGATAATAAAATTCAATAATGTTAAATCTAATTACTGATTCATCTCATCAGTATCTTTGCTTAGCCTAATGATTTATGGGGAAGTAATGCTGAGTTGTGTCTTAAGATCAATGATTATCTATCATGAGATTCTCAGCGCACAACATAGCAATCAGGAGGCGACTTGAACATCATGACATATAATTGAGTAGGCCTATCTATTAAACGGCAACACTCATGTATTTACGGTGCCAGGGTTCAAACTAACACACAAAATCTTATACACATACAAAATATGTACATAAGATAATGAGCCTTGTAATCCCATCAATCCATCATTGTGCACGAGGTATTTGTTATAGCCCAGGCTTTTGAACTGTCAAAAAGAGGTCACTGGAAAAAGATCATCAGGCTTCGTCAATAGCTTGCTATATTATTTTCCTCTTTTTCTAGATTTATTATAAATGAGACCATAGAATGTTGCAAGAAAATTGTTCCTATAGTGCAAAGTTGTGTACTAAAAAGCGGATACATGATGTTTAAAAAAATATGATCAGTGTGGGTAATAACGACAATTATAATGTTGTTAGGCAGTTGCTAGTCCATTTTGTAAATGCCTCAAAGGATAAACATTTGCTTACACGATCAATAAGATGCCCAGAGGGAAAATTTTTTATTTAAACAAATTATTGGGAAATAAATCCTATGATTCTTGAAATATTTGAAAAAACTATCTCTTAGCTAGGAATCAATCGACAGCCTTCTTGTAATTGGACATAGAAAATGGCAATAATATCTGACGGTAATATCAATATTAAAATATTTAAGCTCGTAAAACAAAATGTTTGATATCTAAACAAAAAATTTGTTCCTGTAAATGTACGGGGAGCGCAGCCCTACACCACAAATTTAGCTTACATCTTATTATTATTACATCTATTATTTAATATACATCTCACAAATTTAGCTTACATCTTAGCTTATATCTTATTCAATGTACGAGTAGTTTGTCCTTGGCAGACCCCCTGCTACGGTGGCACTAGCTTCAGGTTTATAATCTCTTGCGTCGCACGTTAGAGCAGCAGTCTAGTGCAGCCTATCAAACTTCACGGGTAGTTTTCCAGAACCGGGAGATACTGCAGTGGTTGGACCTCATTACGATGCTGGTTTTATTATACATATTCTTTGGATTAACGTCAGCCAGACTGTTAGATTTGAGCCACAGTGTGGGTGAAGACAGCAGGATTTGGCTCGGTTACAATGGTTTCAACAGGACTGCATTTTTTTACGGGACGCAGGATGCAGGGTTCTGGTGAGCATTTTTTTTAATACAATCCAAAACCCAATGCAATTAGAAAATTGGTCTGTAAGGAATAAACCATGTCACTCTTGCAGGGGCTATCAGAAGCTACAGCAGGGTGATTCATTGAAACTTCCTGTTTGAAAGCCCAATAAAAAAGAATTAGTAATGATATCCCAACAATTCAAATCTTATAGAAAAATATATTAACAGAATTTTTTGCATCATTTAGTTTTAAAGATGACGTCGGATAAATGACGGCCCCCATTGTCAATGAATTCAGTTAGTAAATTTTTGAAGTTTCGTTAAACCCGCTAGAGCACATTGACGGTATGTTGGCGTATGTTGTTCTTCAAATGAGGTAGGGTCCTTGGACAGTCATTGTAAACAATTGATTTAAGATAACTCCATAAAAAAAATCACACCTAGCCAAATCGGGAGATCGAGATAACAAACCCGACCTGAAGGGCGAATACTGAACCGAGCACGGACTGCTCGTTTAGTAGCGATACTGGAACGGCCATTAGAAAAAAGCGTCCAGTAATCGCACCAAAGTCAGTTTCTGTCCATTTGTTCAAGATAATAAACATTCGTATGAAGAGAGCTCGATCACGATCTCGTCTGCCATCTCAACCCTATAGCCGCAAGCCCTGGAATAAACTTAATGTTCCAACAAATTGAGAATCTGTTCGGTGCAACTACCAACGTATACCTATTCAAAAATAATCGAGTAAATTAATAATAAATTTGACTTTTTTTCACAGAGTAATCAATTTTACGATTTCGTAAAATGTATAATGTGCCTTATTCAACTTTTTCCTATTCTATCGAATCTAAGACATCATAGACAAGGTTGCTGAAGTGATTAAAGATCAGAGCAGATTGACTCTATCAGTGAGTTGCGAGTTCATTTCAAGCTTGATGTAAAATTTCTGGTCAATATTTGCAAATTGGAGGAGCTTAAAAAGAGCAAGATAGATGCAGTGAGTTGCAGGTTCAAAGCCCCACTAAGTCGTAAAAAATTTACGATGTCTAGAATCGCTGCTATGTAAAATTTGGCCAAATCACCACTGTTTCTACTTCTCTTAATTGTCTTCCGTTACGAATGCGCTTAAGTTCATCATACCGTAATAAGGTATATAATTTCACCATTAACAAATCGGTGACGGTATTTAACATGAATTACAAAGTAATTTTTTTCGGACAACCTAATTTAAAATTTCGAATTTCTTTTGTCTGCCTCATTGTTCAAGCATGAACTAAAATATCCGATCAGTACTTCAAACAGCAAATTTGCTTGTTCAAGTGAAAAAAAAAAAGGTCGACTGTAGTTAACCGACTTACTCCCTGCACCATTAATTGGTTTTATTATGGAAATTTCAGGTTGACGGCATACGATGTCGCCTTCCCGGAACACATTTCTACTCATTTGGACGCCCCAAGCCATTTCTACGAGCATGGTCTAACAGTGGACAATATCCCAATCGAGGATCTAGTGGGGCCAGGTTAGCCGCTGGCATATTTATCAATACAAGATATTATATCGTGAAGTTATACTACGTAAAACTGTCATAGCAAATCTAGGAGCATTAAAGGTTTAAGGTATTTCAGTTATCTCATGACGTTAAACTTAATGAATAATTCTGTTAAGGAATATTAAGATTTTATCCCGTAAAGAACGTGTTGGTGCGAACGCAGTCTTCTCATGATATGCTTTATTTTGAATAATCTTACGATAGTATAAATACAAGCAGAGCCTGTTAGCGAGCTACATATTTCAACTATATTGTGATAATTGTGATACAATAAATGATGTCTCTGTGCAGCGGTCGTGGTAGACATGAAGGCAAGAGCCAGTCTAAGTGACAACGCCGAACTGTCAACTGAAGACCTCAACAAGTGGCTGGAGAAGCACGGGTCTCTTCCTGACGGCGTTGTTGTTTTCATTCGAACAGGATGGGGGGAGAGGTGAGTTAAGAATAAGTTATTAACAATCGTTAAAAGCACCCATCAAACATGCCAATCGGATATACCTACTTTATACGAACTAAAAATTTCTCAAACTTGAAAAGATCATAAATCTGTAGAACATTGATAACACAAATCTATGCGTTAAATTTTCATTTAATTCTTTCCAAGGTACTTCAACCAAACTGCATACTTCGGCACCGATTCTAAAGATGTGACCAAGATGAAACATCCAGGTGACTCGTATTCACTGTCAATCTTTTTAAAAGTTTCGATTTTCCATTAACACACCCCCTCAAGTGTTTTTCTATCTACAGTCCGTTAATTTCTTCATATAAATGATCATTAAGCAATGCCAAATGGGGTTAAGAAAAATTAACGTTACGCGATCAAGAGGAATCTTATTCCTGCGGAGCCAAGTTCAGCCAGGTTATCAACTTCCGTCGTTCTCAGGTCTGAGCCGAGGGGCAGCCGAGATTCTCGCGAACTACAACGAAACGCACGGACGCCGCGTGCTGGGAGTTGGACTGGACTGGACACCCCGTCTCTTGATCCTGGCAACTCTACCACATTTCCCGCTCACCAAGTCCTCGCTGCGAAAAATATCTACCGAATTGAGCACGTGGCCAATCTACATGTAACTGCACGAATAACTTAATGAGAAATTCAATACAATAAGAAATTATACAAAATTTGAGAAATCCATGACTATAGAAAATAGTTGAATACTATTAAAGCAATTTTTCATGAGAAGGCTATGACTTAATCGATATTTTTATCTATTAATTTTTGTAAACAGCACACCTCGATGTAAATTTAACTATTGAACAGATCAGCTTTAAAAAAATGTCGAAAATAAACATGCACATTTGAAGCAAAAAATAGGTTGCGATAGCCGTCTACTATGAAATTTAGGATGTAAGATATAAAGCTCCCTGCCTCGTTAAGCTTATCCCATCCTTAACTAGTAATGTTATCTTGATTTTTTTTACAAATAGTATTACAAGATTAAGGCGTGAACGAAACAATGTAAGATTTTACATAATATTTCATAAAATTTAACATATCGATTTCATCAGCTGCTGCCTGACATTGGCGCAGAGGTGACAGTTTTGCCCATCAAGTTCACCGGCGGCAGCGGCGGACCTTGCAGGATTCTGGCCAAAATTTCGGACCAGGTAGCCTCTGGCAGGATCGAACATCCATCCACATCGAAGCCCGCCAAGATTTGAAAGAAAACGCCTGTCTCCATTATCTTCATTCTAATCGAAAATTTGAGAATAGGGAGAATCTCGAGACCTTTCCAAATTTTAAGGGATTATGAATGCAGGATGTAAAAAAAAAAATAAACAGAAATCAAAGTTATAAACTAAAAAAAATTTGGCTTGCAATGCAACTTGTATAATTAGTGTTTTACTTACAATTTTCACTGTAGTAAAAGAAAGTTATGAAAACTAAAGGTTATTTTAGAAATTTTTATTCATAATATTCTAATCATCGCATACGATATTTTGAAGCTATTTCATCTAGTTTCTATGGTAACTCACACAGTCACCCGAAAATAAGCTTAAATGGCTCTAATATGTAATATCTAAGTAATACCTACGTAATTCTGCTTCAGCACATATATTGTAAACTGATAGATAATAAATTAAAAATCACAGAGTAGTAGGCAGAGAGTAGCATTATCAAGATCAGATTCTCATAATTGTACAGTTCATACATAACAGCACCTTCAACTTGAAACTGCAGTCAAATAAAGAAATAATGAAGACCAAACAATCGAGGTGTGGATACAATTCCAGACAAAAAAGTGTTATCAGCATTTATACAATATTGTACTAATGTTATGTTAAAATATTTCATGAAAATCTTTGGACAACTTAGTGCCTGAAAATTTGTTGCTTAATCATAATTTTGTCCTCACACTGTGCGAAGTGACTTCAGAACTACTAAGGGGCTTCATGCTAGGATGAACCAGCATATTTGACTTCATCGAAGGCTTTACGGGCTTTCTTGAGTTCTTCATTCATATTCAGCAGCTCATGCACTCTGGCAGCTTTTCTCTTATCTTTTCTGACAAGGTAGAGCACATCCTCCACCTGCACGCGCCCTGAACGACCAACTTCCATTGCTTGCTGCGTCTGAAAGGAAAAATTCATCAAGTCACATTTCAACTCAAATCAAGGCCCATCAAATGAATGAGACTTATCAATTTCAACCCAGATGTTTGATGAATTTCAGTGATTTCAGCCAACAGACAAAATTTTGGAATCATTGCACTTACTATTGCAAATCTTGGTGGTCATTTGTCAACTTTTGGCAAGATTCCAGATCTTACAGTAGCCATTAACAAACAAAATATAGCCAGTCAAAGGTGGTCAGCTTCAAAGCTGACCAGCCATCACAGTGACAAATTATTCATTATTAGAAAAAAGTTCTATCTAAAATGCTTTACAATGATGATACAATATGAGAGGCATTAATATTATGCAAACTCACCATTTGAGTAATGAATTCTACAACAATGTCTTCCAGCATGTCAACACTCTCAGTGTAAGGATTCTGGTCATCACCAAAGCCATACATCATACATCGGAGCTCCTTGGAGAACAGTCTTTTCCTCACACCTGAACTTGGTCCAGCACTTTCTGAGGCAGCCACGTCAGGAGTCTCATCATCTTCAAACTGAAAAATAAATGCAAGGTGAACCATGAATTTTGCCTGCAAAATTTTTAAACAATCATGATGAAATTAAAACAGCATAATTATGGCCACTATCCTGGTAAATAGTCCAATTCAACATTTCAACTCTCTGTCCACAGAATAATTCAAAGTTAAAGACAAAATATACAGTTGAAAGCAATTATACATTAAAAATAAATATTTTTAATTATTGACAACTAAATGCAATTATTTTCAGCACTTATATCCATAACTAACCTGGTCAAAACTTTCATCAGCAGTTGCCATGTTTCAATCTTTTTCAACTATTAATTTCACTATTATTCAATCTTTTTCAACTATTAATTAGTAAAAAGACAGAAACTAAGGTTAAAAGCATGAACTAAACTAATCAGAGACAGTAGAACCTAATTTTAAATATGTTACCACATTAGCAATAGCATATAAATTCAATATAGAAATTTTAATTGATTTTAACAAATATGTTGCAGAATGCACTATTTGCTTGGCATCTTCAGATCAATTAGCCTAATTGGCATCATCAAACTAAGTTGTGCCATACTGCAAGACTAGGTTTACTACCTACTCAACGCCAACGGGTTGAACACAACATACCTAGGATTAGGTTGATGACACTTATTGCCTTGAAGACACTGAAGTAAAATTGAGTCCAGGGTTGGCATTGATTAGGACTGATTATTTGAATCATGTGATTAGGCTAAATCATTTTTTTTTTTTATAAAAATCATGATTTTTTTTATTTCTTTAATTTTTCTGATTTTTTATATATTTAAATATATTGAGTAATGAGTGACAGTCTTTAATTTATTTTGAGGCATAGTGGCAAAGCAGAGAGTTTTTTAGACTCTCCGTCAAGTTCATTTTTGTGTCCTATAAGTAGACCAGTAATAGTAAAGTATCATGGATACCAGCATAATAAGCATTATCATACTTAAGAAATTAGTTTAAATCTTAAGTTATTGAGGAAATTAAAATTGAACTGATTCCAAAAAAGCTCTGGTTTGCCACTATGTTTTGAGGTACATATTGTCATTCATGGTTTAATATAAATGTAGTTAATGTACCTACTATGACAAATTGGAATATAAACTTGTTGCCTATACTAGTGTGTAATAGGTTCAAATGAATTGTGTGTTTTTGATACAGAGGCATCAAGTGTTGCAATACATTGCACATAGCTAGCAGCTTAGCTAATTCTTATAATAAGGCTATAAGTAGTCTTTTAAATATTTCGTAGTTAGCTACGTAGGATTTAGAAAACGCGACTTCTTATTAGCCTACCTACTTTCATAATAAAAGTTTCTGAAACAAAACAGGGTAAAATTATAAACTACTATTGCACATATGATAATTAAGCTGAATAAATTATTTTATTTTGACTATAAACACATAAAGACGTAAAATCACGTAAATAAGAGTCGTCAGTAAAACATATACTATCAATTTTCCCTCGACCCGGTAAATCGAGAGCCAGCATCGAACTGAATCCTATCGGTAAATTAAAATAGACTATGATTCTGCTGCGCACGATACACACGCACCAGGCGGACAGTATTTTAAAGGAACCTAATATTTAACATAGTCTTTAGTGGACCATCATGATTCCTGCCTTCCGGAACGTAGCCTTCAACACTTCAAGCCGTCCGTATCTAGGCCGTGGGTCGAATCAGCTGTCGGTCGAACGGCCACTTGTCGAAGGACGATAAATTTTGAAACAGAACTATGCTATCTGAAACCTAACCTCGGATGCGGTGAACGTAAAATTACGTAATTTAACGATGCCCGGAAGTCATATTCGATCCGCGGCCTGGTGGTGCACGGCAGGTGGTGGTCAAGGCCAGAAGAGGACAAAGCCGAGTGGTGCACGGCTGATTGGTGTAGGTCCGGAGAGATCCAAGGCGTTCGATTTAGGGCTTATTGGTGCACAAAATTGGTGGTGCACGGCTGCGCTCCCCGCGCAGGGGTCTATACGCGTAGAGGGGGCAAGGTTAGAGGTGAACGAAGGTAGGGAGGGTGGACGAAATCGCCGACGCCTCCACGTAACTGCCCAACAAGTTGAGGAGCTGAGAGTCGTCTTGTAGGAAGGGCAAGCGAAGAGATGATGAGTGAACTTAGTAAGGTTTCTGCACTCTAGGCATCTGGCAGTCGGTGTTCGCCCCCACACACATGTACTTGAAAGACCCCAGCAATCTGCGGTGGCCCGACCGACCGACCGAGCGTGTATGTAGGGGTTGGGAGGGTTACAGGACTACCTACTATGTAAGCAATCGCAGGTGATGCAACGATCTCGAACCGTGCAGTGCTATTGTCTTCTTCTTACTCTATCGCTTTGCCTCTTCATGGGAGGCGGCTGGCAGGATTCCAGTCTCCAGATATATGACGTGGTGGTCAGGATTGTCCAGGTGATTGCAAGCAGGATTGATGGATGTCCAGTGAAAAAGCGTGACTGAAGACTTTCCCGGCGCCAGAGCCACCTTCTTGCCGGCGGTCTAAGATGAGCTCTGCTAGGCCTTCCTCCGCTGCGTCCAGCCTCGAGGAGGAGATGAAGATGGCGATGACGTCGGCCTATAAGGCGATGTTAGGGGCCGGGCTTGGGCAATCGGGACTCTGCCTTAGGCTGGGTCTTATCTGCCTATCTTATTTTTCAAGGTTTTTTTCTGATAATTTTCAGTAAAATGTATCCTCTCTCCGCCGGTAAGTCACTTGTTTGTGTGTTCTGGCGAATTATAAGTTTCGCAATTAACCACAATGTTTGCAATTTATTATTTTTTGCTGGCATCGTCCTTGTTATCTATGAATGTGCTAGGTTCTTTAGTTTGCATGTAATGATTGATTTTTTTATTCAGGTGTATTTTAGTTTAACTTGATGCTGAGCTTAGAGTGAGCTGTGAGGATCGATTGGTGTGCTCATGGTTAATGGACACTGCAACTGGAGGTAAATAATTGGAAATCTAATCTCCAAATAAGCAAAAATCTGTCGAAAATTGAGGCTTTATTGAGTATACTGTTTTTATGCATTCCGTTTATTTGTAAATCTCATTTCTTTGGTCCAGTTCGTTACATGTATTCCAAGATGTTTCATATACATTATTGTTTAGCATCGTATCCCAAATACACATGTTTTAACTCTACATATTTTTTCGGGCTGCTCCTAAATTGTGTCACGCGAGAGCTTTTCATTTAAGACTTTTTATAGATCGGTATGCACTTTTGCCTTCATGTGGATCATCATGATAAGTATAGTAGTATAGTATAGTATCTTCGGCATTAAATAAATAGGCCTGGATAGGCCTGTCGCCGATTCTTGTACTTTTCTTGACTAGACTGGCCTTACGGACGGTAGATTTAAAATCGCTTCTAGATATCAGTTGTTCCGTAGGGTACGAGGCATTTTATGCAATACCGTCCCTTGTCTTACACTTCGAACTAGCATACAAGAAGAAGGCTTTCGGGTTCTTTTTCGAGTTTTTGGCAACGTCTTTTTCAAAATTTTTGACTGCGGTGCTACAAGCTTTTTTAGCTTGATTTCGAGCTCTAGCATACAGGTTATACTCAACATCGCTACGAGTTTGTAAATAACGCTTGTAGGCTTCCTTCTTTGCTTTTAGCTTTGCTTTAACCGTATTGTTCATCCACTGTGTTTTTCTGACTCCACCGAGCTTTATCTTAGGTATACACGCATCAACTGCAGACATAACCGTGTTCTTGATGAATGACCAAGACTCCGCCACATTCATGTTCATGATACAGTCCGAAATGTTCGCTACACTCACTGATTCACGAAGTTTAACATAGTCGCCTTTCGCAAAGTTGAAACGTTCACGCTTCCGAGGCGTCTTTTCTGTATAGCACTTAATACTGAAAAACAATGACTGGTGGTGACTTTTGCCCAACGGAGCCTCGTGGCGAAGCTCTTCTACCATTGATTCTTCACTAGTAAACACTAGGTCTAGAGTAAGGCAACAAGGCCAGTATGTGCTGAGTCGGCTCTCAGTTCACACTTTGAGCTAAAAAGCGTGTCACTATATGGGCGATATGACACATTAATTTAATTGAGAGCGGGATAGTGCACGGTTTGGCTTACACAAAAAATTTGGGAACCACTGCTGTAGGCAAAACGCGTGTTTTACCGATTTTTATTTTGGAAAAGAAGATTGATTGAGATGAGCCTAGCGGTTAAAGTTCAGAGTACCAGATTGGAGCAGAGAGGTGCGGGTTCGATCAGTTACTAACTGATCGACTAACTTTGTGCACCAGTTTATGGTCAGAATCGGCAATGAAGCGGGCGGTCAAGCAAAGAAAATTTGAAGCAGTAAGTTGCGAGTTCAATCCCGCAACATGCTGTGGATGTTCTGCAATGTTAAGAATCGGCGACAGGCCTAAGGCCCAATAAATGCTGAAACCGCTATATTATTATTATTTTAATCCTTTTGAGTGTGGAAAGTTTGTGTGTTTCTCATTGCGCAGAGAGATTTTCCCTGATTCGCGTTAACCGTAGAGATTTTCTGACTATTATGGTCTGCTTCGTACTGATTCAAAAACATAGTTATCACAACTTGCCCTAACGTTGTCATCCTTTGTGTAGTATCGACTGTTTACGTAAGCCACGTCTCGGACAAAAACGCGGCCTCTCGCACGGCCGGTCTCGCGGCCGGACTCCAAATTCAGTGAGCGTAGAATATCTCGCAAAATACTGAACGTAGCTCTATGAAACTTGGTACACATAATCATTAGAGCCTAACGGTGATGTTTAGCTCGTGACAATTTTTCAAATTTCGCCTTCATTCGTGAGTTATATGAATATACGTGCTGAAAATTGCAGTGAGCGTGGCATTTCTTCTACTATAGTACTGTACAGATTTGAATGAAATTTTGAATATAAATTTCTCAATACCCGACGGTGATGTTTGAGACGTTCGAAAGCCTTGAAGTAATAAGTTAAATTTTTATTACTCGGCATCTTCACTTGATATAGGGTTCTACAAAAATTTTAGTAAATGATTGTTTAAACCAAATCAATAATCGCGAAATAAATCAAATTTCCTGGAATAATGATAAATTTTCTAATACGGTGCAATCAACGATAGCTAAACAGTAAACATAAAACATTAGCGTCTGCTGCATTCCAGTACATTCACAGAGAAGTGGTTTTCATGACATAACTTCTAAAGACGGTCACAGAATTGGTATTGACTTTATCTGTCCCAAACGTAAATTTGTCTATGTATTGGTGGAACAACTTTAGAATGATATTGAAACAACAAAAAGCTACTGCGTGCCAAATGCACTGTTGAGTTTTTCCATCAATCCGCATCTTCGTAGACTAATTCAATTTGCTTTGCACCAGTGAGCGTTCAAGCTCGCCAAAGGCGGATGACGGATGTCGACTCAGCGTAGCGTACGTACCGTCAAACGGGGTAATAAGGGACGATTTAGAGCGTTTTTCGTAACGTCTTACCATCTATACCATGCAACATTTTTATAAACAACTTTGGGCTCATTGTAAAGCTCTTTGCGAGGGCTATCGCATGGGATTAAAAAAAAATTCTATTCGTAAGGTGCCAGACGTAAAATAAAAGCGTCCCGGAATTCGAATTACCCCTGCCCTGGGCCAGGTGGGCCCTGCCGCCCTGGGAAGTGCAAACGGGGTATTCAAGGACACTTGAATTAAAGCTTAAATTTAAAACGTTTGAAGCATGCAGAGTGTACGCAATACTCATCCATTACTACAGTACTCTGAAGTCTGA